GAGTGCGAGTGTGTGTGTGTGAGTGTGTGTGAGTGTCAGTGTGAGTGCGAGTGTGAGTGTCAGTGTGAGTGTGAGTGTGAGTGTGCGTGCGAGTGTGCGTGCGAGTGCGAGTGCGAGTGCGAGTGCGAGTGTGAGTGCGAGTGTGAGTGTGAGTGCGAGTGTGAGTGTCAGTGTGCGTGCGAGTGTGCGTGCGAGTGTGCGTGCGAGTGTGCGTGTGAGTGTGCGTGTGCGTGAGTGTGTGTGTGTGCTTGTGGTGTGCGTGTCAGTGTGCGTGCGAGTGTGCGTGTGAGTGTGAGTGTGAGTGTGAGTGCGAGTGCGAGTGTGAGTGTCAGTGTGCGTGTTATTTTCATAAATCGTGTTTCAGAGTGTGCGTGTGAGTGTGCGTGTGCGTGAGTGTGTGTGTGTGCTTGTGAGTGTGTGTGTGCGTGAGTGTGTGATCATGACCATCAGTCCCAGAATATTCTGGCTTTAATGCCGTTCAAAGAAATCTGATTTAGACTCCATTAATGCATGTTTCTGCTTCTAAACCCCTGAAACGTTGCTTGCTCTTTACTGTCTGTATATATGCATGTTTGTTTATACAAAGACGAACAAATCCCAATGATTGTCTGCAGATGCTGAACTCAGAATAACCCAGAATAGTCCCCGTGACCTTGCTTGTCATGCTGATGTATCTCTATCTGAAACAAGAAGTTGGAGCTTGTTCCTCTTTTTAAATAGTCAGTGGTGTTTAGTTTGTCACAGCCGAGTGAAGCTGCTCACTACAGCCGCAGATGTGCAAAAATGTCTACAGGATTAAATGATTGATTGAACTTGAAACTCTAATGTTTGTAGTAATGGCGATGTATGGTGTAAATGTAAATTACACTGGTGTATAGATGACCTTAAAGGGATAGTTCACCCAAAAATGAAAATCCTTTAAAGGGGTCATGCTATTTTAAAGATAATTATTTGGTGTAACAGAATATGTTGACATGCTTTAATGTTCAAAAAACACATTATTTTTAAAATACTGTACATTATTGTAGGTCCTCTATGCCCCGCCTCTCTCAAACACGTCGTTTTCAACAAAGCCCCCTCCTTTGACAAGCGCAGTCTGCTCTGATTGGCCAGCTGACCCAATGCATTGTGATTGGCCGAACACCGCAAGCACGCGTCGGAAATGTAACGCCCCTTACCATAATCGCGAGCTTCA